AAAAAAAAAAGTCTGACTAATGGAGCTTTATAAAGATAACTAAATGGCAAGGGTTGCTTTCTAATGGACAAGTAATACAAATATTCTAAGAGAGCCAACTGACTTCATCAAATTTAAGTAACCGAAAGCTGTAAATGATTTTTTATAGATGCCTGTTAACTAATGCTTTTTTCCTTAAAGGGGAGATACATTTCTTATTTCATCCTTTCCTTTTTCAAAGCATAAAGAGTTACTGAATGTGCAGTGTCAACAAGAATAAGCAAATCATTTCCTGATAGATGATTCTTTCTAAGATATTAGCAAGTGAATAAAAGCAAACTACAATAACAAAAGAAGCTAACCAGTTAAAATAAATATAAATTTGAAGTGATAAATATATTGTAAAATTTTCTAAGGTGATAGTTGTACAACTCTATGGTTATACTAAAAACCATTGAACTACACACTTTAGGAGGGTGAGTTGTATCTCAAACCACTAAAATAAACATAACTTACAAGTGTTGCACTTGAATCATGAAGAAATATGTCCAGAAGTTGCTGAGGTGGATTTAATGCCTTGATATATCTTGTTACTAAAATCTGTATCCCCTCAGCATTAAAAACAGTAGTTGTGATTCTTCGGTTTGGAAACAAGGACTTGCAAGTTTTTTTAAAAAGCTGTGCTTTCTGTAAAACATCGATTGGATCTGAAAACTAGAATCAAGTTTAAAGTGTTTTAAACTGTACCAAATTGTTTTCAGAAAAATTACACAAATCAATGTTTGTTTTTGCCAGTTTCAAAATTATTACTATTACTAGCACTTTGATAATATATATAAAATAACTCAAGTGTAAGACCTACCTTGCCTAGTTCTGTATCACAGACGACATATGATATTTGAGGTTCAATGGTAACAAAAATATTTAAGAAGCTACATTCTTTTAAATTCTGCCCATTACAGTCTTCTTTAGGAGACATGTAAGTCTTACTCCAAGTGTACCCAAGCAAAACTGGTGGAATGTTTACTTGAAATGTTCCACTGATCTGAAAGATCAGACAAATATAAAAGGTTCTGCGTGATGAGAATAAACATCAATGTAAAAACTGTAGCACAACTTAGTTTTACCCACAGGTAAGACTTGCCTGGGTCTGTGCAGCTCTGGCACAGACTCTGCACAAGAACACCAGCCTCTCAGCCACGATCTGTCTACAGGCACCCTAATATGGGCCCTGCCTAATATGTACCACATGGAGAGGGAGGACTGAGAAAGGAGTGAAGCCAGGAAGCAAGCAACTATAATAAAAACTTAGTCTCAGAAAAGATGCTAAAAGATAAAGTTATACTTTGTTTTGGGTCTAAGAGGAGAAAAAAATGAACAGCGGAAAAGATAACTCATAGGACATCAGGAGAAGGGGTCTTGTGTGCATGGGAGTGTGTGTGTGGGTGTGCATAGGGGGTGGGAGGTAAGTTACACTAATAATAGTTAATAATAATAGTTAATCGCTATTGAGCAAAGCACTGTGTCAAGTACTTAATAAAGATCGTATCATTCAACGAGGTAATTACATTTCTGCCTATTTCATAGATAAGGAAACTGAGGCTCAGTGAATTTGAGAGATTTGTGCAAGATCACACAACTAATGAGAAGTGCAGCCACAGTCATTCCCCCAGGTTTGTTCACCTTAAAGCGTACACTCTTAATTACCTCTCCATTCTGGAGTCTAGTCTGAGAAATAGCTGCAGTTTTACAGATGTCAGAAGCCCTGTATCTCCAGTAACTTGAATCTATATTACTTTTAATTGCAGCATTTAAATTTGCAACATGCTGCCTCATGGTATCCTGTGATTGCATATTATGTAGACATGTCTCTTATAATAGTCCTTCTCTCCTCCTTTCTTATAACATTTTAGAAGGCATCATGCCATTAATGTAATGGCCAAGTCACATAAGTAAAATGTAAGCGATCTGCCAGGATTTTCTGTACAGGCACTTCCCCTTCTTGTCTCTCCTTCCCTCCCTTCCCCCCACCCACCCCACCCCTTTGCCACTATGACTACAAAGAGGTACAGTGGACAATTCGCGGTTATGAGAGTGAAAGCTGCACAACCAAGTGGAACAGAAAGACAAAATTAGTTTGGATCCTTAAAATCTTCTGGAGCAGTTGCACTGGCATCTAGATTTCCTTATAGGTGAGACTCCCTGACATGAGCACAGTTACTCAAGTTTTCTATTCCAGAGGACTGAATGCAACACTAATCCTTACACACACACAAAGTCTGCCTCAAATGCCTCCATTTGCTTAACAAAGTTGTCTTTAGGGATTGACTCTAAAGATATCACTCTGTAAATATTTCCCTGGCCTTTCATTCTCCTTCCTAGTACTCATTCCCCACTCTGGCACCCCTCCCCTGCCCCCTCCAGGCTCCTTATTGTATGCTACCATGGTACCTGTCTCATGCCTCTGTAAAGCTATAGGGCATTAGCAGGTTGTACTGAAATGCCAGTTTTCTTCTATAAACAGTAAATTTATTGAGGCAGAAAATTCATTTCTGAATCTTTTGTATCTGGCATAGCCTCAGAGATGGTGAATACCTTGCCTAAGATCACTCAGCAAGAAAATAACAGAGCCCAAAATGGAGTCTAGGCTGAGATTTTTATATTTTACTGGTCATACAGGCATACTCTTGTTATGGAACCCAAGAGCAGAGCTTGCTGGGGGTAGCAGAGACAGGTGCTAATCATCAGCTTCACCATTTATCACTATGTAAAGTTAAGGAGCAAAACTTTTAGTAACCATTGGTTACAAGGCACATCATTGTGAATCCCAGTCTATAAAACTATTATATGTAAATATGAATTTTGCTTTAAAAATCAGTGCTAGCTGTACTATTCTTTATCAATAAACACTCTAAAAATATAAGGAGTTAATTTGTGAGTATCTCCTTTTCTAGAGTCAGCTAAAACCTTCAAACACTCTCATCCCTGAGGCACTAGAATGCAGGATCATTTTAGCTGACCTACCTACCAATCTTCCAACCACAGAACTAGATTCAAAGACAACAGTATGTTCTTTTTAGTCAGAGGTAAAAACTTAATTAGCTATCAATTATTTTGTATTACCTCAGATTGTTGTAGAAGAGCAGAGAAAGGGAAGACAATGGATCCAAGCCAATTCTTTCTTATATATGAGTGACCACTGCAGCCCTTGAGACAGTGATCCTAATAAAGGAAACAATTTTCTATTACAGATGTTAGTTGGGATAGGATTGGGGCAAGTCCTGATAAAGTAATCATACATCAAAAACATCGCAGGCCAAAGACTCCAACTAGGAGTTGCAGTTCTCTGTTAAGACAGGCATAAACAGGTGTAAAACCAAGTTTGCCCAATAGTCTTGTTATCACGAGTACACATCGCTTCTCGGCCTTTGGCTAAGATCAAGTGCAGCATGAGCACAACTTCATATGTTCATTGTCAGCCCCAGAGTTCCTCAACCTGTGGTTGAGGAAACTGAGCCCTAAGGGGCCAAAGATACAAAGGAATCTCAACTATGGCTCAAAGGAGATTTCCCCATCAGGAAAAGCCTTTTTACTTAAATTAAGATGTCTTCTTTCAAGTTGGTAAATGATGCAAAAATTCTTGAATGTCTATACTTCTATTTTAGGAGATATGCTCAATGCAACAAACTTTGAAAATACACTAACGATACAAAAAAAGAATGAAAATTACCTTAGCCCCCATGACCATTAACAAACTTTTAGGATACTAAATGGTAGTAGAAATGATGATGACACAGAACACTATCCAGTTCAACTCCTTGAAGAACAGCTATCACTCAGGTTACTCTCTAATATTTTATTTTAGTCTTCATAAATGTATCTTCTCTTAGGAAACTGGGTTGGAATACATTGCCATTATACTTCTCAGTAATTCATATATAAGGCTTAGTCCTGAACCATACTTCAAAGTCTAATTCAGTTTCTGTGTCCCTGATCCCCAATCTCCCTAGGTAGAAAGATTACTATTAAATACTACTAACTTTGATAGTAGTACCATATAATTTAACAAATACTTATATTAAAGGCATTTACTCAAGAGAGGTGGTTATGTGTTTTTATATATTTAATACAATTTCAGTCGGAGGGTAACTAACATTTGAGCTTGTTACGGCACAAGGCATTGTTAGAAAGAACAGTCTATGAGGAAGACAATAATTTTTCAAAGTAGACTGCATAGAATTAGGTTCTATCCTAGGAATAATTTTAACTTCTCTTTTGTAAAAGAAGCATATTTTCTTTCATCAAACATTTTTGATAAATATTTAATTCAGTTTGTTTTTTTTCCTATTTTGGTTACTAGGGAGCTCAAATTTAAATATAGTGTTAATGAAAGAAGTTCATCATCTCTTATTAGTAGAGAAATGCAAATCAAAGCAACAGTGAAATATCATTTCATGGATGTGGCAATGCCTATAATGACTATTATAATATAATGACTATTATCTGAAAAAATGAGAAACAAGTGTTGGAGAGGATATAGAGAGAAGGAAACCCTTGGTTTTTGTTGATGGGAATATAAATTGGGGCAGCCACTCTGGAAAGCAGTATGAAGATTCCTCAAAAAATTAAAAATAGAAATTCCATCTGAGTTACTTATTCCACTTCTGGGTATTTATCCAAGAAATGAAAAACTACTAATCCAAAGAGGTATATGTACATTTATGTTTATGACAGCATGATTTGAAACACCCAAGAGCTAGAAATAACCTAAGTGCCCATCAACTGTTGAATTTATAAAGATGTGGAACACACACACACACACAGGAGCACCATACAACTATAAAAAGATGAAATCTTGACATTTGCAACAAAAGGGACTGACCTAGAAGGTATTACACTCAGTGAAATAAGCAGACAGAGAAAGACACACACCATATGATCCCTTTCATTTGGTATATAGAGAAAACAAACAAACAGTAAATAAGACAAAGTAAACTTTTAAGCTTCCTTCTGGTGATTACAAGAAGGGAAGAGGTAGAGGGGTGAGCAAGGTGGGGCCAGGGCACAATGGTATGGTGAAGGCAGAGCGAGGCATTTAATGGTGGACTTCAAGCAACATAGACACATGCTGCTTCTCAATAATGCTCATCTGAGAGCTATGTCATGCTGTAATGCAACATCACTTCAACAAAACAAACAAATGTAATGCTCAATGGTAGAAACCGCTTCTCTAAAATTCTTGGTATATTTATTCCTTTTCTTTCTAGACACGGTTTAAGATCCGTGTCACGGTCAGTTATTTTTTAACTGACTTGTTATATACCTCATTTATTTCTCAAATGAATTTCAGAAAATTTTGGACATAGATGATGCATCTGAAAGCAAATTTCCAAATATGTTACTATACTTCATTCAATCTGGCCTTAGGATTATTTCAACGTTGATTATTATAACTATTTTACTTTACCTCATGTTTTTCAATAATCATTTCATCGAAAATATTGATATGTATGTTATCTTTTATTTTAGATAAGCTTGAGAAACTATAATCATGTCCTGGTGAACTGTAAATAAGAAAAACATATGTGAATGTTTATTTTATAAGAGAAGTATTCATAAAGGAATATAGAATTGAGTTCTTTTATAAAGCACAAACTAAGAAAACATTACTTGCTTTGAAGACTGCAATTTTTCATCAAAATCATCATGTGCTTTGTAATTTTTGATATCTCTCTTTAGGTAATTTGCATTAAAAATAAAAATGTTTATATGTCAAGCAGAAAGTTTGCAATACAGCCATACATTGTAGATAAATTATCTGGAGTATAGCATGTTAAGATTTCTCTGTTAAATTCTGCTTCATTTTTGCATTCATACACATAGTTTAATTGCTCTTTTTGTTCTCAGTTAAGATAAGACTGTTTAACCATGGAGAGATTCCTCTTTTCCATATTTACTTTCTCCAACCGAAAATTGGGAAAGTGGAGTCATTTAATTTTGCAAATTGTCTGCTGATAACTTCATTGATTGGATACATTCTGCGAGGTCCCTAAAGTGTAGTCAATCATAAGCAACAAGCTTCTACTCTTAGTCTAGCTTGTGCATTTCAAACTGAGGGTGGAAGTTCACCGTGATGTCACCAGTAACAAAGCCCTAATCTGATCCTATAAAAGATAAAAGGAAGAACAAGAATATTGTATGTAAGATATGGTTGTTTTTTGAACAAGTCTAGACGTAGCCATGCATCATTCATGCCCACACTCTGATGGACAGAATTTGGACACATAGCTCCCTGATAACCCACATAATCTAGTTGTGTGCCCAGAAAGAAAAGAAAATGGGATTTCACCAACATATTGCAGTCTCTATGACACTGAGGCCTCCATCAGCCCAACTTGCACAAACACTGATATAACCAGCATCCTCATATGAATATTTCTATGGACCCCGTGAGCATGGAATAATACACCGAGAAGCAGGATGTCTGGGCTTACCAGGTGCTATTTTAATGCTTCCTCTTACCATTTTGAGCTTCCCAATTCAGTCTGCCAGTACTTGCCTCTCTGTATCTGGGGAGTTTATCCGGCTCCTGGAGTCTGTTTGTTTTCCCTGGCTCTTGGAGTCAGTGTCTCTCCCAATAAATGGCTGAGAGGGCTTATATATAAATATCCCAGTCCTCATGCTTCCTTTAGGTGGGTTAACCTGAGGCACTGTGATTTAGACTTTCCCCGGAGAGATGAACTCATCGTAATCAGTATTTTTAACATATGGCTCAAGAAAATAATTTTGTTATTTCTCTTTCTTTAGAAACTGAGGGAACATGGACTCCAACTTACATAAAATCTACTCTAAGTTCTTCATTCCAGCATGGATGAGATCCACTTGCTGTACTGGTTTCATATACAGTGTGTTGAAAGGAAACTTCCACAAAAGGGTGTACAGTATCCTGAAATACATAATAAACACTGACTAGGCTTTTATAGTATTTCATAGAGTAGGAAATAACTTAGCTACTGGCTGACAACTAGATGAACTACTTTTCCAGTTTTTCAAAGAACCAATATTCACTTAATAAAAAATTAAAAATTAGTCCTAGTCAATATCAGCTACTTTTCTGGTATCCAAAGATAAATGGACCTTTTGATTAGACTTTAAAGTCTATCGGGGATAAAGAGGAAAACATTTGCAATAAAAAGTGAGAAGTAAAATAAGAGAAATATAGTCAAGCTATAACAGTTAATCAGAAGAGAAAATGATTAACCTTCTGGCATGGGGATAAAGAGAACTTAACAGAGAAAACATTGGCTGAGCTTGAGTTTTGAACCACTAAGTAGTAATTTATGTGGCCAATAATACGTAGTTGTAAGGGAAGTCGTTTCAGGAAAAAGGAAAAGGCATGTATAGAGGGTTTCTAGAACAAGTTGTAGCATGATAAGGTATTGCTGTGGGGTGAAGTGATATGACTGATAAGTAGGTAAAGATCAGATTATCACAGATTTTTACAGCCATTCAAAAAAGCTCCTATAGTTCTTGAGAGCTGGGGAGCAAAGAATGAAAATGTTTTTAGAATTATATTTTATACAGAGCATTTCAACTTGTCATGGAAAGTAAACTGGAATACCAAGGAGTTGAGATGGAGAAGTCTTTTAGGAGCCAGTTGTAACTCAGAGTAAACATAATCAAAATTGCACTTTATGGAAGTATTAAATATTTACCTCATATAAAGTGTCAGCTGAGGGTGCAGATTTGATTAGCTCTTTATGTTTGTGATGAGATAGGGATGATATCAAATAAGTAGGCATACCCAAGGCTCTTTAGGAAAAACAAGATAGACAGTCATTCTAGTGTTAACGTTAATTTTAGCAGTGGGTAGGTTTTTGCCTATGCTTATGGAGATATCTAATTAAGTTATGTATCTTTGGGTTTTAGAGAATTTGATTTGAATGCTCATATTAGAGTTTGTTAAACATTTGATCATTGATATTCTGGAAGAATGTCTCCTAAATGCTGAACTAAGGTTGTATTCAGTCTGTGATTAACTGTTCACTTATCCTCAGCAAAAAGAAAAATAAGGCACATGATACTTTGAGATTACATACCCTTGTTCTTTCCATTATACTATTCCTTCTTTCATAAATTCCAGTGGCTACAGGAAAAGGTGGTGATTTTACTACATTTTTACTTCACAGGTTAGTCTTTGAAATGTGCACATTTTGGCACACTGCATTTCAGAGTATCAATTTTATTATATAAATAAGGCTTTAGCTTACTAAACATAGGCAAGACCTTTGAAAGACTTTCACTAGAGATTGGTGGTTATAAAGCAAAAATGCTTGCTTTGCAAATCTGAGAGTTTATAGAGTGTGCTAGCAATGAGATAAGGAAGTTTAGACCATATATGTGTTAAATATAAGTGGATATACCTAATATTTCTGAGACAACTTAGTATTAAGAAGTCATTAATAAAGTATGCATCATATATAAGCCTAAGTATAGGAGAAGCTAAATCTTCTGGATATACTAAATACCACGAGCATTTAATATTCACGATGACTTCATTGACAGCCAGCCTGGCCCCCCTGATCATCTGCTGAAGAAACACAAGCTAAGCAGAGTGCCTGCAGAAGAGATGGATATGATTTGTAAAATCACATAAAATGACAAGTCTCAAACAGACCCCGTGTTCTGTGTTCTCCAGGGTTCTACTTCCGGTACTGAGAGTGGCCAGTGGCGGAAGACAGTGCAGTTGGTAGTAGCAGCTGCACATCTTTCATAAGAGGGAATAGGGGAAAAAGGTGTTTTTTTAATCTGGCACCCCAAAATATACATTTAAAGTTACTTTGAGCATTCAAACTTTGGAAAACTTCTAATACATAGCAATGATAGTAGATTTGACTATCCAATGAAGATGTCAACTTTCATTAGTTTCTGTGTATGAGAGATCAATAAAGCACAAAATTGTACAAATAGGACAATGTGGAAATTTACAGTGAAGATACTTCTGCAACCATAAGTGTTGGTTATCTTACCTAGCAACTTCTATCTTCCTTGTAGGAATATTATAAGCCCTTAGAATTCTGACAAGAATCTTAATGTCTCCATCACAGATGGTCTGTGCTGCCACTTTTTTCCTTTCTTTTCTCTGAGGCTTTAACATTCTTCGCCGTTCAACAAGTTTATAAACTGCATGTGTCAACTGGCTGTAGCAAAAAGTGATTGGCCACATATACAGAAGATAAATGAGCTTAAAAAGCTACTTTCAAACTTATTATAGTAAATAAAGCCAATATTCTGAACTCTATTCTCTCCACTGTAGAGGGAGGGGAGGTAGAGTTACTTAAAGCCAAGGAAGGGATCTTTGAGCATACACAGAGCCTGTGTTCATTCTCAGGTTAACAGAGAATGTGATTGCTCCATGCCCTTTGACTTCTCCTGCAATGATGGCTTCATGGTCACACCCATTTCCCCCCAAGAGTGAAAAGAAAACAAAAGCAAAGTCAGCATCCTAGGCCTGTTAGAATTTTATTGTGAGACTAGAAATCTCCAAGTGGCCCCAGGGAGTTACCCAAAAACATGGCATCCCTGTTCCTCCTGCTTCCATCCCTAAATTTCACAAGTAGGACTATTTGAGAACTGAGTTACTTCAGCCAAAGTCTCCTCCTGCTGCTGCCTGTGGCTCAGGGGGCTTGAAGTTCAGAGACATTGCTGGGGTTACTAGCAGTCACTTTGCCAGGGTCAGTCTCAGGACAGGAAAATCTTAGAGTGAAACTAATATGGGACAAAAGCACTTATATAGATTTTTTTTTTCAAAAACACTTTAAAATTTTTCTTCTCTGTCCTAAAAGCTATCAATGAAGATTAAAGTCTAAAGTAACACACAATTGAAAACATGTGTCATATAGGCAAGTCAAAGAGGCAATTTTAAAATGACCAAATATATTTTAGGTCATTTGTATTTCACTTTCTGCTTTATAGCTGCATTTAAAAAAATATAGCTATAGGCCATCCCTGGTGGCGCAGCAGGTTAAAGCACAGCACTGAGAAGCTAAAGCCACTTCTGCATGAGTTCGATCCCTGCCTGCCCCAAAGGAGATCCATATGGTGTGGCAGACCTCTCCTGACCAGTCCGCTGCTCCCCTCAGCAGTGTACTTCGTCGATCTGCCTGTTCTGCTCCCCACTCTGTCTCTGGTGAAGCCTCTTGCCGCCCCCTGAGCCTCTGGCCTGTACCCCAGTTCTGTATGAACAAGTAAATCTTAAAAAAAATAGCTATACTGATACAAAATTAGAAAACTTATTACAGGACCTTGGAGGTATTAGCTTAAAGCTTTACATTTCATACTTGAAAACTAATAATGAATTTTAGTATGTACCTTGTAGAAACAATTTCTTCATAATCAGCCACAATATCTGCTAAGTTAAATTTGCTAACTTTGACAATTCTTTTCATTATCAACTTCCTCATCTATGAAAAAAAAGTCGAATTTTAAAAGTTCATAGTTTATATTTTAAGAGTAAGTATCACCATATTTTTTCTACTCCAATTTTTTTTGAGCAAGAAATGAAAAGTTTGGATTAGGTAAGTGAAATAGGGTTCTATTTGCTACCATTATTAAAACCATTCCTAACTCTCCCATGTCACATGGAAGCAAGATTCTTTCTTTCCATTTCTTTGCCCTTCCACATCTGTGTCATGTCAGCTCCAACCCTGCCTTCTTCCCACCACCTCACAGTATTATGACAGAACCGGCTCCATCAGCAGAGGTGAGTTCCTGTGAGCGTGTCTAAGACATCTACCTACAGGCACTGGGCGTGAGTCTTGACTCAAGACTCACAGAAGTGTCACCACACATCTTTAATTTCCTTTGAGTCATTGTTATCCTGACAGCTTGGCCACAAACTCATTGCGCCCATGGAGACTTTCTCCCTGGCTTCCTCCAAGCATGCTGGGGTTCTTTTTCAGTCTGAGGAAATCCTTCCTTCTTCTCCTCTAACCCTGTCCTTTGTTACCGATGTAAGCTTTCAGACATGAAACCAAGAAGATGCAGGTTTCAGTTTTCTGTCTTGCCACAAATAATCCGAGAGATGATAGAACCTAGACTATAATGATCTGCGTGCTGGTGTAGGAAAGTGGGGTGGAAAAATATAACCAGGAAAATTATGTAGGAAGATGAGCAACACATTGTTTCCCTTCAAGAGGAGCCACACTCCCTGAACCCACTGCTGCTCATCCTCTAATTCTCTCTCCTCTCTTCTCCCCCAGCTCCGTCTCTCTCTCCTAACCCTCTCTCCCCTCCCAAGCCCCTGGGCACCACACAGATTGAACTTGCTATTCCTCCACCAGACTGGGCATGTTATCTCTCCTGGTAGAGCCTCACTCCAGAGCTTGGAGGGAGCCCTGACTGTGGAAAGGAATTGGGGGTGTGGTTCAACAATGGGGAGTCCCTCATTTGGCCGAGACTCTGCTGGCTACTCTGTGAACATCTGACTTTGTGTCAGACCAGTGTTTTTCTCTAACATTTACTTTCTCCTTTTGGAAGCTTATTCTCCCTTTGTTCCCTGAATTTCTGTGTAACCCGGCTTTGTGAGATCCTAATGGAAGCAGGGATTCTGGCAAATACTGGCAATTTTCAGGCTCCAAAAGAAGCAGGAAGTTGATTAATATTCACATCTAAACAGGAAAAGTTGGGGTGTGCTTTCATGATGAGTTTGCTGTTGCCTGAAATAACCTCAGTATCAACAGTGTACACGGACATCTGTAGATGGTAACTAATTAACTGCAAGTAAGGGAAGAAGTCTGAAGAGAAAACCCCTCAATTATCAGCAAGAGGTGAGAGTCAGTAGATTTGTGTAGGAAAGCTTAATGCCACGCACCCTGCAAACTAGCTTTCACAAAAGTAAATGCAAATATATTGATAGTATTATTTTGTTTTTACCTTTTTCAGAAAATTGGTAGAAGTAATCCTCTGTACAATAATGGAATTCATATCTGAAACGGACCCATCCTTCTCTAATTGACCTTCATATTCCTAAACAAAGAATTGAAGTTAATTCTACTTGGAGAAGGTAACAGAATTCAGACATGACAGGCCACAATAAAATAGTAGCGATTAATTTCAGTTCATGTGTGAAAGACATCAGCAGTACCAGGTCTGAGAGAAGAAGACATTTGTTTCAGATTCTCCCTACTATTATTGTATTGCTGTCAATGGAATGATTTAATTCTGTTAATATCTTTATTAACAGAAAGCATTACTTCTGTTAATAGCTGCTTCATATATTTGGGTGCACTTGTATGGGTACATAAATACTGATGACAGTTGTGCTCTCTTGATGAATTTCTCCCTGGATTGTCTTCTGGGCCCATCTTGTTTTGACTGAAAGCCTGATATATAAGTTATGGGGCCAGCCTTATGTTCCTGCTGTTTGCCCTTCGGTGCGATTGCTCCAGCCTTTCTATTTAAGTCTGTTTATCCTTAGATCCAATGCGTGATTCTTATATGCACAATATAAATGGTTTATGCTTTTATTTATTTATTTATTAGCAACCTGTCATTCTGTGTCTGTTGAGTGGTGAAGTCAGAGCATTCACATTAAAGGTGATTATTGATATTATATAAGGCTTACTCAACTGTTACTCTCTCTTCTATTTTTTGGTTGTTTTACCTTTCTGTTGTTTCCTGTTGCGCATGTTTCTGTTTTGAAAGTGGATGACTTTCTTTGGTGGGTCTCTCAGTTTCTTCCTTTCTTCTTCTAAGCATCTCTGTTTCTGAGTTTTATTTTTGTGGTTACCACAAGGGTTACCACGTGGATAACCACAAAATCAGTCAATCTTTCTATACCTAAGACAGCCTTTTGTGCTGAAATCAATTCATCATTATTTGATTATATATAGTCTTCCCTTTTCTTCCTCCCTTTAATAGGTTTTGTTGTCTTATTTTTCTGAATCCTAACACCTTGCTCAAAATTTCATGTTCTTTTCTTTTCTTTTCCTGTGGAAGAACTGCTTTCATCACTTTTTGTTGGGCAGTTCTAGTTGTGGTGACCTCCATTAGCTTTTGTCTAGAAAAACCTTTATTTATCCTCACCTTTACTTATCCAAATCTAAGTGATTTGGCAGGATAGACTTTTTCCTTGTTGGGCAGTTTTTGTCTTTTAACATTATAAAAATGTCATTCCACTCTCTTCTAGGCTTGGGGATTTTTGCTACAAAATTTAAAAGACTGGTCAAGGTGCTTTTGTATATTACACTTTACCCTTAGCAATCTTCAATTTTTTTTATTACTGAATTTTGATAATTTAATAGAGCTATGTTTTAGTGTGCGCAATTTAGGAATCAGGTTCACTCTGGATTTCCTGAACATCCGTATTTCTTCTCTCTTTAGGTGTGGGAGAGTCTTGGCTTTTATTTCTTAGAATAGGGTCTCTGTCCCCTTCTCACTTCACATTCATGGTCACACACAGTCACAATGTTTTTGTTTTTTAAGTGTTGGCTACGTCTCATAGAATTTCTTCATTTTTCCCCTAATCTTTATTTCTCTCCTTCTATTTGCACATTTGTATCTCAAGTTTCCAAAATTCTCTCTTCTGCTAGCTTAAGTTTTTTTTTTGTATGCTTTCCAAATTTGTTCTGATTTCATTCAGTGTGTGTGTGTGTGTGTGTGTGTGTGTGTGTGTGTGTGTGTGTTTAATAGCTTCAATCAAAGAGACTGAAACAGCTTTTCTGTTCCTGGATTTTTGTTTGAAGATCCTGAATCTACTACCTTTCTATATTTGGTTGACCTTGTAGGACTTCATGAAGCTCCTTTATCATCATCATTCTAAAATCTTCCTCTGTTAGGGGCTCAAATTCTGTGTCCTTTATATAGGTCTGGACTTAAGTTCTTTCAGCTTTTCCCTCTAGTGTGTTCAGAAGCTCCTTATTTCCTAAGGATGTCTAGTGCCCTATTTGCTTTTTCCAATAAGGGTTCTGTGGCTTTAGTCTCAGTTGTTAAATTGCTGTTCAACTAGGTAGTGGATGAGGAAGAAAGGAAGGTGAAGCTGGAGTCCCAAGGGAGGGCCACTTCAGGTGCAGGCTTTACACTGACTCTTTTCCTGTTGGGTCTGGAGCAAATGCTGATCACGATTACAAGGAGCCTGAATTCTGGTGCCCCCTCTGCTCGCTGCTCTTCCCTGTAAAATGCAGCAGCTTCTGCTCTGGCATTCAGTGGAGAAGGGGTTGAGACTGCCACCCACGCTGCCAGCAGCCAGATTCTTCTTGACTAAACTAATAGCCCCAGCACCCCTCAGCACTCTGCCTTCACTAAAAAGATTCCCAGCACGGGTTGGTGTCCTGCAGTGCCTGTACCTATTTCCAGCCTGTTCAGGTGACTGGAATGGCCACAAGATCCCTCCCTCTCTTTGTTCTACCACCACCATGAGCCGCAACCTCGTGTGAAAGAACTGTTCGTGTCCCACCTTTGGTGATGAATTGGTGATTTCCTGTGAGCAGTATTTTTTTTCTAGCTGTACTAAAAGGTTTATTAAAACTTCCCGATTTCACCAAATTGTGGAGGAGTCTGCACTCTTAATTATACTCAGATCTCAGAGTTTGGGGCAAGCAGACTGCATATGTAATGCTGTGGGCTTCATGCTGCTTTACATTAGGCCGTCATCACACCTACTTGTTTTTTTTGTGTATTGGTTTTCAATTGCTGCCATGTTATCAGCTGCGAAATGACCACAATTTAGTGGCTTCAAGCAGCACAGATGTGTTATCTCAGAGCTCTGCAGCTCGAAGTCCAGGTTGTCTCAGTTGGCTTCTCTGCTCCAGGTTGCTCAAGACTGATATCCAGATGTCAGCTGGATTCTGGGAGGCTATGGGGAGAATCTGTTTCCAAGTTCATTGAGGCTGTTGGCAGAAAGCAGTTCCTCACAATTACAGGATTGTGGCCCCATTTCCTTGCTGCATATACAGTAGGGCCACACTTGGCTTCTCTGAGCCTCTCTTCAATCTTTGCGGATGGATGTCTGAGACCAGCAACTACACGCTGATCTCATGACTGAGATCTTTCTGATTTCTCTTGTTGTTGCAGCTTTATTTTGCTCTCTTGTGAAAACATTCTCTGCTTTAAAGGCACATGTAACTAAATTAAGTTCACTCAGATAATAAAAAAAAAATCTCCTATTTTAAGCAATGTAACAAGTTCAAAGTTTTGGATATTGGAGAGTGGGCATGTTTGTATTGTGGCCATATATTGTAGATTTTAATTGTTTTTCCATGTAGACACATTTTTTCTACAAAGACACGTTCTTCCAGTTTTAATTTCCTTATTTTCCTTGTCCTTCATTTTGATTTAGTACATTGGATTTTACTGGTGGAGATGACAGAGGACATTATTATGTTGTTCAGATTAATGGAAGCTTATGTTCTGCCACTAAGTGTGATATTTGTATAGGAGCCTATGAAGGAATAGATTTTTGATCATGATTCTTAAGTACTAAACTTAGTTTCAGGGCCACACAGCTAACCATGCTAAGGGGAAGATTTTAAGGAATTGGTTTCCCAGAGTGCTAGGAAAGTGGAGAGAGAGAAAATTTGCTCAAGGGTCCCTGGGTACTGTTGTTTATTTTTTCCTCTTCTTTTCAAGGATGAGAAGAACTTGGTAACCTTAACTTGGATTCAAGAAGTAGGAGACTCCAAACATTAGGTGGAAGTGTCTTTTCCAGTAAGTGCAAATTCTTGCTGAGTGGTAAACTTTAACTGTTTTTAGATAGGCTTTTTTGTTTTTTAAGTGCTGGCAAATCACTTGTCTATGTAGACACATCAGAAGAAGATTAATCCCCACCAGAGTACAAGAGCCCAAAAAAACCAACATCAGAATCTGTAGCAGCCATCGTGGGCTGCTTCTGTAAGTTTCCGTATCTTTGGGACTTAATTTAACCATCCATCCAGTGGATATGTAAATTGTCCTTTTTTCTCCTCCATCCTTTCAATTCTACAATTTGCCTAAAATCAGCAGAAAACCCCAAGATGTTGAAACAATCTTAATCAGATTAAAGGAATTCCCTTCAGGTTCCACTGCCTACAAGCTTTCATCATGAGTGTCTATCATGCATGAAATGACTTTTGGACATTTATTAAGAGGGGGCGCATTTTTTCTTTCCTTAATTATGTTAATGTGGTAAATGACATTGAGTTTGTATTAAATTAGTTCTGTTGTCTAGAAATAAACCCTACTAGCTTACAGCGCATAATTATATATCTATACACAGTACAGTTTTTCAATTTGTCAAAAAATTATTAGTAATTCAACATCTGTGCTTTTAAATAAAACCGATCTAAAACAATCACTTCTTGTTCCTTTGCCCAATTGTTATGATGGTCAAATCAGTGTGAATGGTTTGTAGTTTTCTCTGAGTAGTTTGTATAAGATAAGGGAAGTCAGCCAAGTCCCTCTGTCATAGCGGAAATTTCCTTTTCTATGAAGTCCTGCCGTCAGTTATACTGAGTGTTGTGCTTTTCCAAATTATGGAACTATAGAATTGAATTCAACCATTCAGAGAAGCAGCTGGGGGAAACTGAGTAACTTTCCAGGTATTCTAAGCCAAGACCTTCCTGTAACTTATTAACTCACATTCCTAAGGTCTCAAGACAGCTCCTCCATTGTTAATGTTTGATAAAGTCTTTCCAAAAGCCACATACCAACTGGTCTGTTTATCAATGCGTATAATTCTACTCACCCGTATGTGTGCAAATAGTGAATCACCTGTAAATCCTATTTTTGTTTGGATCTAATAGTTATTAGCTGTTAGTGCCATGACATTTTCACAGACAAATTATTCATTTTTTTCCTGGTCACCTCTGAGGACACACAAGTTTCTGAGACAATCCCATTTGGTCTGGACTGCAAGTGTCCTCCCAAATGTACCGGTTGGTTTGTTTTTTTCTATAAACCATCATATAAAAACTAAAGGTTGGCTGAGTGGTAAAAGCAACAAATATACCTTGTTTTTTAAATATAAATTTTACTATTTTTGATATTAAGTGGCTTGTTGCAATTTCCTTCTGGTCCAAAATAAAATGAATACAACACCAAAACAAATACCAGTTTTTTAATCAATTGATAATAATTTACCAAATTATCCAAGTTATAGCCACACAGCCAATGTTACTAATTATACTCCCACAGTGATAATTCTTTTAATTAATTAATTCATTACCTTTTTTTTTTTTTTTTGCAATGTCTGCTTTCTTCTCCCAGGTGTAGTCCCCGTAGAATTTCCGCCACCAATTCACCCGTGCACCATCACCAGCGTCCCTTATGTTCTTCCTGCCTTACCCTGGCCTCTTTCCCTCCCCTGCAGCATGTCTCTGATTTGTAGTTGCCTTTTTATTGTTTGGTTTTATTGTTATTATCATTTTCCCCCCTTGGTCCCTCTTTGGGTTCCCCTATATTCCTCCTATAAGTGAAACCTTCCAATATTTTTCTTTTTCCTTCTGACTTATGCCATTGAGCATGATCCCTTCTAGCTTCATCCATGTTGCTGTGAATGGCACTATTTTATCTTTTGATTGCTGCATAGTATTCCATTGTATATATATTCTACCTCTTCTTCATCTAGTCATCTATTTTTGGGCATTTGGGTTGTTTCATGTTTTGCCTATTATAAATACTGCTGCAATAAACATTTTGAATTAATGTTTTTGTGCCCTTTGGATTGATCCCTAGGAGTGGAATTGCCAGTGTCTACAGTGATAATTCTATTGCCTGGCACTGTGCTCACTGTGTGAACCACTTCTTAGCAAGCTCAAATGCTGTATCACTACCACTGGTTATTTCTACAGGAAATAACCAGCTATAATTCCATTTTAAGACTAGTATTGTGTTGGCAGATATGTAACAACCAATTCTCCAGGAGTAGTAGAAGCCCCAGTTTCATTAGCTAGCACTGGCAGTTTCAACATAGCCTCTCACAGTGTAAACTCGTTTCTTTTTTTGTCTCTCACATTTTAAAGATTCTGAAATTGAGGTGTACTTGGCAATTAATGTACAAGTTTAACATGTTAGTGTTCCTCCCTGGCTCCAAAAAGTCACCTTTAAACTGGTGATGCATTTTACAACAGCAGAAATCCAATGTTAGGTAAATTTAGGATATCCCTAAAAAGGATGTTGGCTGTGAAACAGGTTGTTTGGACAACATCTAAGATGCAAAGGCAAGATAAAGCCTTTGTGAAATCTGAGAGATCTGTATATTTATAATACCTAAAGAGAAGGAAGTGGGGGAACCTGTCTACGGATTGTCAGTTATCAAAAGAAATACAGGTTTAAAGCAGAAAAAAGTAACATATCATCTCAGAAACTGCATTCAAATAGAAAACAAGTACCTGGAAGATTGAATCTGGAATCTCTCTGTCATAGAGGGGTATTGGCTGTAGGACTACATCAAAGAGACCTGCATTTCTAAGTTGCAACAGCTGAAAACGTTTGCTTTTCTTCATTTCCTCTTCAGAAACAAAATTAAATTCATCTTGCAACTGTTCCAGACGAAAATACTTTGGAATATACTCTTCTTTATGCTTCATGTACTGTAAGACATGACAAAGCCTTCACTTACAATACTTGCTACTTTTTTAAGTAGATGACTGGGTTAAAAGATGTGGTATATATACACAATGGAACATTACTCAGCAATCAAAAAGATAAACACATGCCTTTTGCAGCAATATGGATGGAGCTGGAAGGGATCATGCTTAGTGAAATTAGCCATAAAGGAAAGGAAAAATACCAGGTGGTTTCACTCATAGCAAGAGCATAAAGGACCAGGGGGGGGGGAAATAATAATAATGAACAACTATATACCAGAGACATTTTACAGGGGTGGAGTGGGAATAGGATCAAAAATGGGGAGTTGGGGTGCAAGAGCACTGCACTATAGTGATGGCACACAGGTAATTTGGTGATGGGAAGCCCACAGGGATTACAACTGCGATGGAAAAAGGCACAAAATGATGTAAAAATAAACTATTATATTATTTTTTAAATACAAGAATTAGTTCAAAAAACACTGCTTTTACCCAGTCAATTGTGAGGTTAAAAATTTCCATGGAAGGAGGTAATAGAGTAGCTGAATCTGTAGAGAGATAGGATGTGGGGGGCAGGGAAACATACAAAATACATGCTACATGGTCTCCCAGCTACGATTTGTGTAAAAATGAAAATACTTGTGTTGCACACTTGGAAAGATGAGACTCTCTTTTTATCTGGTTATCCTAATAGCTGAGAGAGAGGCCAATCTTTCTGTATCCTGTTATGAATTCAGCATATCAGCTGGTAAGCTGTAATCCTGAGAAATTTAATTGCAATCATCTATTTATTCATTGCTTTACTCACTAAATGCAAATGTCACTACAAGGTATATGCTAGTTTCCAGAAGAGGCACACAAATGTCTTAGATATAGTTTCCCAAGGAAAGAAAAAATACATGACTGAATACGGGAAAAGGCAGAATGATATTAGAGTCATGAGAGTTTATAAAAAGGAATACAACGTTAACAGAAGAGTAAGGAAAGAAGGAAGCGCCCATCCCTAAGTGAAGTGACTGGGGAAGCATTTATAACACTTGCAGCTCGGGTGCTTATACAGGAGGAGAAGTGAATAGATAATGGAGTCTTTGAGTGAAGGAGTGTGTCTGGAAGTCATCGTTGTATCCCAAACATGGGTAATACTAATGAAACTGGCATGCTGCAGCTCTATAATGGCTATTCGCTTGAAGGTTAAGCTGCAGGATGTGCTGTGTGGGAGCTCTTCAGTAGTGGCAGTAGCCCCAACTCTCAGACCTGCTTCAGTTCCTGAATTTTAAATTATGTTTCCAATATTCTAAACTGCTTGAAAATGGTATCTGTCCTCAGATTTATCTTTATGTGTCAACTATTGCAGTATCTAGAAAAAAATACACAGCAAATCATGAAAGAACATGGGGAAGGAGTTTAGGAAATAGTGTTTACAGTACTGGTATTTAATATGACTTGCCATAATAAATTCCATTAAATCAGAATATTCCGGGTTATTTGGGTCAATCCTGGATTCATTCGCCCATTCAAAAAGTTTCTGTGCATTTGTGAGCCACGGGATTCCAGGAACACTTCTTGCATCTACATTCTTTAACACACTAGCATAGAGAAGGCATTTTGTGAGTTTGCATAAAATATGAACATTACAGAGCTGTTATACAGGATAAAACCTTCCCATTCCAGGTATTCAAAGATGAAACCTCTTTAGCTTCTGCATTTAGGGTTAAACAGAATGTTTGGTTGTGGTATTTCTCCTGGTTCTTCACACATTCTAGCTTGCACAAGAACTTTTTGATAAATGTCTACCTTCTTCCCTAAGAGACAGTAGCTTTTTAAGGGTGTGTAAATAATTAAAATCTGTAAACATTCATCTTTGCCACCTCCAGTCTGTGTAATGCTAAAAAATTTTGAGGCAAAATTTTTTGTAGTTTTGTAGATGTTGAGGCAAATAGTGCTTACAGAATGTATTCTGTGAATCCTGAACATAACAATATCTTATTAATATTTTCTTTTCATAGAATGCACAGTATTAAAATTTAACCAAATGCTTACTTGAGGAAAATTAATAAAGACCACAATATAAAAAGAATATTTAGGCTGTATCTTTATATTTGAAACACGGCACATAACACAGAGTGATAGCTAACTGAAAAGAATGTATGTTTGTTTGGGCATATGAGGCCATTTCAGAAGTTGGAAAACTATAAGACTAGATGGTACCACTGACTTACATAGCTATAGGCTAAGAGCAGAATAAATGGCTTATTTAAAGTCATTTACATTAGTCTCTCATTCCAAAGATATTTTACTGTCTCATCATGTATAACTAGGGATACATGAAAATAATGGTTCAACTTTATTATAAGTGTGTTCACTGACCCCAAAATGAATTACATTTATTAGTTATCCATTTTTATCCTAAAAAGCCCTTCTCCAGTTCTCTAAGATGATGACTTCATGTACTGAGTAAACAAGGACATCCGTCTAAAGCACATTTTTGTCTTTATGGCATTTCACTGTCATTCTCTGGTTTGAAGAAATATTGATATTTTCCCTTCTCTAAACCATGGCAATGTACTTTGTGTCCTGGTTTAATATATTCCTGACTTTGAATGATTTCACATTCTTTCTCATATATTCTGGTTCTTTCCCTGCAGCTTTATCATTTCTTTTAAGATGACAAGGATTACCCAACATTTATAAAATTTATGTCTCAATTCTGTTATGACTCTTATTTTCAACTTCTCTTTACTCAAACTTCTCGTTGACAAATCTACATTTATTCATTAGCTTAGTTTAGCCAACACCAGTTGTTGGGTGTTACTCACAATGAGTTTTTTCCTTCCCTCTCAAAAATGCTCTTAATTATCAAGGAAACCACTCATGAACTCTGACTCGGACTCTGGCCATACACTCCTGGCTTTACAGTGTAGTCACTACTGTTTTTAAAATGCTCTCTAACTTCTGTTTTAAATGCTATATGTATTTGATTCAATTTATTTATAGTAATGTTTTTAAGATTTTACTTTTTAATTGCTTTACTTTCAGACCCATTGTAGGTTGACAGCATAAGTGACCAGAAAGCACCGTCCCACACCGCCTCCCCGTTGCCCACAGACAACCGCCTCCCCGCCTTTCAGTACCCTGAGCCAGTTACAGTGATAAATTACTGTGTGTGTTGTGGTAAGAGTAGCATTGTTACAACCCATGAACTTATATTAATATGTCATTATCCCTGAAGCCCACAGCTTACATTAGGATTCGCTCTTGGTGTATTTTGAATGGATTTGACCAACTTTTCATGGCAAGTTCTCCACAATCATTGTATCATCCCCAGCAGGTTCACTGCCCTAAAAGCCCGTGTTCTGCCTACTCAGAGCTCTCTTTTTTTCTAACCACTGTCTATAAGGATGGGGAAAGGCTCTCTTTTTGTTATTGTTTACTAATATTGAAATGATGACATATAGTTTGCTCTTTATAGCTATGATTTCAGTAAAACACAGGACACTATGAGCCAGCAGTATCATCATGTTTATAGAATTTTATTGTAATTATTTTTAGTAGTACTTTTTGCGGCTGTAACCTAGAAATTAATTTCAAATTCTTCTAGAAAATCCTGGGATTTAGATTTTAAAAATTAGAATTTTCCTTGTAGCAAACAGATAAGGCATGGAGTTATCTACTTATAATGTTATACAGTTCCCAGAAATAAAATCTTTGCAATTCTTGGTTACAAGTTAAGGACTAAGGAACTGCCTCTCTCAATATCCGTTGAAGAACACATTCTCTTACTTATAAAGACTTTATTGCCATAGTAGAGTGATAATAAATAAAATGTATGACTATTTTATATACTTACAAATATTCAAAAACCAATCAACCTTCAAGTTAAAGGTATCTACGTATGCTGGGGTCTTCCTTTGATAGACTCAGGTTTTGTGTGGTGCTTTACTAAGGAGGCATCATTTTTCAAGCATAAGAATTTATTACCTGCAGTAGGCAGATCTTAGAGAATGTGACATAGGTGTCAGAGGAATACCGTTTTCATCTAAGGCCCATGATAGAGAATAGCTTAGTTTTCCTGATGTCAAAAGACGAAGTTCTTCAGTTCCACTTCCCTCAAGAAGAAAAGGCACATCTGTTATAAAAGGTATTAAAGAGGTATTTTTAGGTGTGCAGTTTGAGTGCTCGTAGACACCCTGACTTGAACTTATGGAACCCCAAGTCAATTCTTTGCTGACCCCCAGCTCTAATCTTAGCATTTGTCTCACCTCCCACCTAAGGCAGACTACAAAAGCGAGAGAAAAATAATGTTCTGGATCCATAAAGATGAACTACTATATTTTCTCTTGTATAACTTTTTAAACGTTCATAATTTTTGTTCTTTTGGGGGGAGAACAGCTTCCAGCACAAATGGTTCACTAGCAGCAAGAAATGAGACAGGCAAGATTCCTAAGTTCTCTCACTCCCTGATTTCATTCTCAGTCTCCAGAGATCTTAACAATATCCCTTGAAACTTTGGTTGAGTTCTTGGTGTTTTCTTTATGAGCCCTGACGCTTTTCTCCTGGGTCTCCAGATCCTCATTTTCTGCTTTGTCCTCCACGCAGACAGATTCTCTGTCCTTTCTCCTTTCCAGTCCATCTATCTACTTATCTTTCTTTCTGGCTGCTTCTATGTCCTTCCTTCCTTTTGGACACAAACAGTTGCAAACTCACTAGGAAGGAGAAAGAAGGAATACAGAGAGACCTGGGTGCTTTCTCATAGGCTCACTAACAAAGGGGTTGCATGAGCAATAAAACCAAGTGAAAAACAAACGAACAGAGACATCCCTTCCTCTTTCTTCCTTTTCTCTCCCAATTTATTTCCTTCTCTACGCCTTTTTTCTTCCTCCCTGCCCTTCTCAGTTGAAAGTTGAAGCCCCCTGCTCCAGAGCATCTGTAAGTCTCATGAAGGGACTGCAGAGGCAAAGCTGTCTATCCACTGGGTAAATTTCCCAGCACAGCACTCTTGTTTCAGACGACTTAGGGAAAGCACACAGGCTAGTCCCAAAGGTCAGATTCAAGACAAAGATTTTGAAACCTCAGTTTGTATCTAGTGGGAGAACATAACCTTTTTTAACCAAATACTATAAGTAACTTCCTTTATTAAGTAAGTGACCTAGAGTCATTTAGGCAATGGAGCTCATATAGAAAACCAGGGAAGAAACATTTTTAACATACTTACCACTTCCTACTTCTCCATCTACAGGTGTGACCATTTTATCACAACTAAATTCTATGTATTCCAAAACAGTTCTGCTTTTCAGCTCTGCATTGTTAGGTAAAGGTATATATAGTTTTGCCATTAAGCTTGTACTTTTACTTATTTCATAAACCTACATATAAAAGAAATGGTTGATAGTTCACTGAAAGTACAAAATTAAAAAAAAAAATACCCCAACAACACATTCTCATTCTTTTTTTTAAATACTAGAATGCACATAGGTATTACTCTATAGATTTCATCCACACGATTATAAGAAAAGTAGATAATCATATGTCCCTGAAAGTATGCCTTTTACTTGTTTCAAAGAAAATTAATTGAACGGATTGTACATACAGTTATGAAAATAAGGTACATTATATATTACCAAAATAACATATTTTCATGTGGCACTGCTAAAGTTCTACTAAAGAACTTTGTAAAGTTCTTTGTCTCATTTGAATCTGGTAAAAATGATAGGAAACAGGTATTATTTCTTCCTGTTTTATAAATGAAGTAATGGCGTCTTCATAGGAAACTGTGTTAGTTTATAAGCAATGGAAACCCAGGTGGCATTGCTTAGAAAGAGGGAAATTCCCCGGCTCTGGAACATAAGGGCGATTAAACCAGCTCTGGGGGAAGGAAAAGGAGAACCAGAGGCTTAGGCAGGCTGTCCTGCAGGCCTGACTGGGTCTCGGGACGCCACTTGCTGTGCTTCCTACTACAACTCCCCACTCCCAAACGACATGCCTAATTTTTTCCCCCAACAGATAAGTCTTATTTTAACCTATGCTTTGCTATCAGTGTTTGGAAAATATTGATATGAGGAGGGGTGCAAGAGACATTCCCCTTGGAAAGATAAGAAAGAATGTGCCAATCCAAAAGATTGCTGATTAACCAAGAAAGCAGAGGAAAAGGAAAATCAGAGACAATGTTTTCTGGTTATCTAAACCAGTCATCTAAATACTCCTGTAAGAGTGAATTTAAGCCAATCCAACAGTCTCTTTGAGAAAGACATCCCTAAATGCAAAAGATTTGTAGAGTGTGGGGCTAAATGGGCTTAAACTACTCAGGTCTGTGAAAGAAATTTCCTATTGTGAATCAGTAAACTAGCTAAGAAGAGACAATAAAGTAATAAATATATTCAAACATTAAACTGGTTTCTGAGTTTACATGTCAGCCTTGTGAATTTGAAAAGGGAGATGCATTCTTAGAGGGCAGTCAAATCCAAATTTTCTGAAACTATAGGACTGGAGGCCAGATCCCAAGAGCAGCAAATGGAAAGACGGAGAGTGCCCTGTTCGTTGATGAAGTCAGCGGACACCATGTTGGGAGGTGGAGGGACAGTGACGATGGGCACTCTAAGTGCAGGAGCTAATCTGTGCCAAAGGGCAAATGTAGGAAATTGCAAGGATGTGTAAAGAAAAACAAGTAATTCAGGCTGGCAGAAAGTGAAGAAAGAGTAAGGAGAAGTGGGAAGAGGTGAAGTTGAGATGTAGATTACAATCTGTTAAAGTATGGCACCTATGTTTATTTTGCAATTTTTGTAGCTGTTCACTGGTGTGCTTTATCTCTAGCTAGATTCCTTTCTTTTCCTGCCACTTAGTTTTTTGGGTTATGTGTTAACTGTTGGGATGATGGAGGATTCAAGACATGTATTTATCAATTACACGAGGGCAGATTTTAAATAGCAGGGATTGAGTTATGATTTGACTCTTTTAGGTACAGTAGTAGGAAAGTATAGTCAGTTTATTTTTTAAGTAGGAATTTCAAGAGAGGTACATTTTAGGCTGACAGGAAATTGATAGACCAGATGAACAAAATGAATACAACCTCTAATCAGGGATGGAACAAAATTCTTGTAGGCATTATAAAGGTAACTTTGAGTTACAGAGTTGTAATTTTAACCCCTTTCCCACCTCTCAAACACTGCTTTATGCTCATAAACATGCATCTTAGTTGCCTTAGATTCAAGTTTAACCCCTGTATTAGCCATCAAGATGTCTTGTCTAGACTCCATCACTTTTCCTCCACTGTCTTATTTTCTTCTTAAGGTAGGAATTCTTAGGCTGGATTCTGGGGATGGGGTGGGGCCTGTTGTGTGCATGTTCTTGCATCAGCTGTTTAAAGGAATTCAAGATTCAAAAGAGATGAATATAGCAAGAGACTGAAACCTAGTCAAGGCTGAAGCAATCTGAAGAGCTTGTTCAACATTTCCAGTAGTTACACCACTGTCTCAAACAGCATCCCCCCAACCCCCCACCCCCGCCACTAGCATAGTCATGCTGTATTTTGGGGGTGGGAGCGGGCAAGGATTTTAACTGGTGAGAACAGATCTAGACCAATAACACAGCAAATAATTGTGCACTTACAGCATACATGAATATTGATGAGTTATAAATATATATGAATTACTTGGATATATGTATAGATCAGCTGTCTCTTAATATCAAAAATTTCACATCACATGTAACAGTAGCCCACAAGAACTTTTAAGTATGCTATGGCACATAATAAGATACGAAAGTAAGAGACATGCCATACCTCCAAACAAATTGTTTCAGGCCAATGTATTAACTGAATATTGAAAATTTGCTGAAACATGACTTTAAAATCTGACTGTAGTGGAGACACCGAAGTGCAAGAAACCTGCTTATCATTGTATAATATTTTAATAAAATATTTAAGCTTCTGAATTTTGGCTCTCCTCTTTTGTTCGTGCCTAAAAATTAAACAAACCTTTAAAGGATGCTTGAGAAGCAACAGGAATACAAAATACTGTTTTTTCAAGTTGTACCTAAGTACATCAATATATGGTCATTTTAGAAGACAAATGGCATCTTTAACTTCAATAACATTTGCCTCTCTGTGAAGAAAAGCTTCTAAGCAAGTGTTTTTTAAAAACGATATTTACTCAAAAAGAGAAAAAGATATTTACTCTAAAGTCAAGGTACTCTAAGTCAACAGTAATTTATCTTAAAAGTAAATTAAAATTATAGTTATAATTTAAAGAGATTACAGCACTTGCCTATCATATTTTTGGAGAGCAGAAAACTGAGGGTCATAAAATGGGAATAGAGGAAGTTGAATCAAGAATTCAAAAATATTTTTAAACTTACAAGAAACACACACACACACACAGCATATTTTCAAATAACCTCAGAGGTGACTCAGTCAATACGCTTACTGTGTTCTGTTGAAGGTTCCTGAAAATCCCTTTAGTCTTTAAGTTGTATAACTTTTGTCTCCAGGAAATTTTTTTTTCCCTGTCAACCCAAATATCAGAAAGGCAAACTAGGGCTCTTGAAAAGCTTTGTTGGGGGAATAAATTGAATAAATATCCTTCAGTCATATCAAACTCCTAGAGAGAGAGCCTCCATCCATCCTTCCCTCCCTCCCACTCTCAACCCATCCATCCACCCACCCATCCATCCATCCATCCATCCACTCAACAAACATTCATTGACTATCTTCTCAGCTACTAGGAAACTGACCTTACTAATGTTTAAGGCTGGATCTTTTTCAGAAGGGAGGAGACCAAAACTTAAAATCTCTTCATGTTCTCTCCCTAACTGACCAAAGGTCCAGTATCATCCTGCTCCTTTTCTGTTACCTGTCCATCTTCTCTATAACATTAGGGACAACATATGAACTTGAACCAAACTACTGTTCTGTGACATCTCAGCTTCTGAAATGTTACCGTGGGTATCTAAACCTCCCATCAACATAAAATCCCCCATGTCTAATTTGAGAATAATACCAATTCTGTGGCACTATGGTGGCAGTTAAATGCACAGATGTATATTGAAAAGTATTTAGCAGAGTTCTGGGCATTTGGTACTCACTCAAGAACTACAATATTATTATTAACAAACTACAATATTATTATTAACAACAATGCAGTTAATAGAGAACATATCACAAAGAAACAATCCTTGAAAATGCTTACAGTGAACACATGTATAAGTTTGTTAATTCTGTTGTAAAAGAAAGTTGTGGCATCAAGGTAATTGATTTTATTCTTTCAATATCTGTTTCTTCAAGTTCTGAAGCTAAAGAAGAGAGGCTCTAGAATGTAAAGGTATAATTAAGTACATAAGTTTATTGCTCAGGACAATTGTTCTTAAAGTTAAGCTTATTTCCTATACTATACTTGTTACTTTGCTAGGTAACTGTTACAAGTACCAACATTTCTTAATCTACCAACACAAGATACTGTTTAGTTAGGCTGCACAGGTCATGGTGAGCTGGGTGTTACTTTGCAAAATAAATACCTCCTGTTTTTCCCCATTCTGAGATGTTTTTCCTTTAGTTTTCTTCTCAGTCTCAGACATTCCTGACAGTTCTTGTTTTTGTTCATCACATGTACCTGTTTTTATCCTAATTAATAATGAACATAGTTACTTAAAGCACAAACAGTGGAATTATTTCAGAGTTGTTAGAGGTCTTGTCAACACACAGTCAACTAATCTCTTACAAGAAGTAATTTTATATTCCAAGAATATTATCAATATGAGAACTTAGCGTGTACATACTAAACATCTTCATAAGCTTATACTCAGTTCCTCCCATGAGTAAAACAACCATTATAGCTTACCATCCTTTCTGAGGCCATCAGAAACCTTTTCGGGGGGGGGGGGGTAAAAGAGAAACTATTTAAGGACACACTTGTTTCTTCTCACTTTTCTCCCTCTCAGATTTAAGATGTGAGAACATGACCATGTTTAAGGACAGGTGACTAGGGCGATATTGAATGGCACACACTCCTTCTTGTGTTTAGAAAGTTTGCAACACAGCTACTGCCCTTACTGCCTGTAGACTAGTTCACTTTCACCATACATACTAAGTACGTGCCAGGAAGGATTCTAAGTACTTGTCTGGAAAAAAAAAAAAAAAAAAAGCCCTGCTTTGTAGTAGGTATTATTAGCATTTCTTTTATTACTGGTCTAGCAAAACCCAGGCTGTTTGAGAAATTTTCAGAAAATAGTCTTGGAGTTGACTTTTCCTGAGAGTTTAGTGGGTAATTCTTTTCAGTACAAAGTTTTCATCTTTTCATGAGGAGATTGAGAAAATATCATATGGTCTGTTGGGAATGGAAAAGGGCACAGATACTTTGGCTACAGACTCCCAAAAATATAAAGCAGAGTTAGCACATGACCCAGCAATTCCATTCTGTGTATAGACTTGGAGATGAAAACGTGTCCATACATGTGAGGAAAGACCACTGATAGGAAGATGTGTCCTTGGGGAGGGGGTGGATGTCCAGAATGTTCCAAGTTGTTTCTTCAATACAGTGATGGTTGCACAACTCTATAAATACACTGACAATCACTGGGCTGTACACTTTAAATGGTTGTATCATTTTGCATTTCCACCAGGAACAATGAAGAGTTCCAGTTGCTAGGCACCCTTGCCAGTTCTTCTAACTTTTTCTTTTCTTTTTGGTTCTGTTTTGGATTTTAGCCATTCTAAAAGGTGTGTGGTATATATCACTGTGGTTTTAACTGACATTCCTCTTTTGATATGACATGATATTGACATCTTTTCATGTGTCCATATGCCTTTAGTGAAGTATCTATTCAAATCTTTTGCCTATTCTAAATGGTCATACTACATACATTGTAAAAATAATTTATTTATTTAAAATATATTTTTATATCATTCTTCATTTGTAAAAATTATTTATATATTCAATATATAGGCCCTTTCGTTGCCTTCATCCTACAGTTGTTTAGTTTCTGGATTTTCCCCAGTGACTGTGAAATACCCGTCATTCATGGACAGTTCCTCAGGAGGACAATAAGAACAAAATGAGCAGCTACTTACCTCTGAAACTGTATCTTTATTGGGGTACTTGTAAACCCTTGTTGTCGTCGAAGGGATTTTATCTGTTTCCAAGTCTGTAATATACTGTGTAGTAAGGAAAAGTCTTTTTCCCTTTCTAAGTCATAGAGTTGTTTTGTATTACTACAGAATAATAAAATGGTAGATCGAAATCATGTTTGTGGATTAAAATTGTTAAGTTTAAAAAATAGCATGTAAGAATGTATCAGATTAATGCTTCTGCCTCCTGCCCCCACTTAGGAATTTTTTCCCATTTTCCCCACATCTTGATATAGAGACTAACATTCCACTTAGAGATTCATTTCTTTTATGACTAAAAGATTTTTCTAAAGTGCTCTGCTAATATTCTGGACTTTGCGTAATGTGTATTAATAACACCTTTTTTCAGGTTAACAATTAGAACCTACATCAAATTTAGAGGGACTTTTCCGTGGCGTAGTGAATCTACTATTTGGATACTGAAGTGATAGAAATAATCTTTTAATACACTTTAAAAAGATATCTGGAAGCTCTATTTTTAGGACTTATAAATTAAAATCTAAGACTTATCACACTCTAATGTTAATTAAGCTTTACCATTACTCTGACACTGACCAGTGCAAGTATTTTTAATTATACTTATTCTCTTGATCTTTACTCCATTCTGAAATTTTATATTTTAACTCTATTTTTAAATCCCACAAGACAGACATCATTACATAATTGTTCATTGAGATTTACCTATATGTTTACCATTTTCTTTGCTCTTCAAACCTTCCTGATTCATTTTTAACCATTCATCACTTTTAAAAAATTTTGTATTAAAAACGTATTATTTTTGTATTGTAAGCAAATAGTCCTTAGAACTTCACATCAGTAGAAAAATCTCTGTGTTAGGGTTAGAGTTATGCTTTTCTGGAAAAAAATATTGGCTTTGCCAATTGTCATTCACTCGTTTAACTAGTATCTATGAACTATTCACTATGTGTCAGGTCTTATGCAAGCTATGTATCAACCTTCTAAGGTAACATTACTTTTAATTTCTTAGGTTGTTCTAGGAAACCACTGACTAAAATCAGCTGTTGCCTCTAGTTGCAGAGTCTCGTCAGTGAGCTGGAGTCAGGGAATTATTTTATCTTTGTGAATATTTGAACTTTCTGCCCAGCAAGTGCCACCCCATGAGCTATCTTGCTTTGGAGATTCCTTTACACATGATTTATGTTTTGTCTTGGAATTATCTTTCCTGGTATTTCACACTTTCCAAAATTCTCTTTCAATGGCTCCTACCTTTTAAGCCATGTTCTTTTACATGGGTAGCATCTATAATTTCTGACTATTGTCTTTAGAGTCAATCAATATTATATCTTGTACCTAAATACGTGTGTATTAACCTCAAATATATACAAACATGATCAACAGAATTCAATCAATTGAAAAGTAATTCGTATACAGAGTAGTTTTTAACCAGCATGTTTTTTTAATCAATAAATTTTAAAACGGCAATTACCTTTCTGTGCACTGCTGTGAAATTGTTTTTACACAAGTGGATGTCTAAGGAGAGGTTGGAACCATTCCTGTAATTTGCTAAACAATGAGTATCCTGTCTCTCTGTATATTATCTCTTCCATTACAAGTGCAATACTTTATTAAAAGAAGTTATTTAATAAATGCTTGATGAATGAAGGCCCCCAAGCCTACCTTATCTGCCAATAATAATCTTGTAAAGATTTTCTGATCAACTGGTTCATTTCCAAATTTTCATTTGCTAATTTGGTAGTGTCTATCAGTGCCTTCAGCTACAACAATGAAAATATTTATTTCAGTACATTTCACCCTTCTATTACCATCACCTCCATTCACCTGTGGATTTAGGTGTACACGCTGCAACACAAGTGTATGACCTTTTGTGTATAATTGCCTCACCTTCTAAAACACAATTAATATAATCAACTTGGGACAGAACTAGGAAGTGCCTCAATAGATATACACAATAACATTTTATCTTGAAACTTCTAGGTAATCAGTTCATCAATTAATATAAAGAAATGCCAATTAATGAAAATGGCACAGTGAGCATAGGAATATACTTTATCTTTTATTTGTAATTCCATGGTTACAGAAAATATATCTATCTGGTTATTGGTCTTTATCTGTAGCACTTGCTACCATAAAATCCGTTATCTCTCTATGTATATTTAAAACTATATCTACATCTATCTCTATAAAATTATGATTATGTAATAACACAGCAAATCAAGAAAGTAAAAGGTCAGGGGAATAAGATAATGAGGAAGATAGAGAACATAGATAACCACAGAAAATACCCTTAGAGAAGTAAACTGTAGGAAACTATATCACAAAGCACATGAAAGAAAGATCTTCATAGTTAGGAATAGGTTGTGGGAACTCCAAAACTAGAGTCAAATGATAAATACTTTCATTGGGAGGCTTAAAAGAACTCAACAAGTAAAGCCCTACTATATTCCTGGATGAGAAAATCCAGTTTCTACAAAGGTAAAATCTATTTCAAAATAAATCCAACCACAACCCCCCAAAAAATGGGCATACAATTAAAAAAAAAAAAAGCCGTCAAGCTAATTATGATGCTTATATTGATGATCAAAACTGTAAGAGCATCCAAAAACTTGTAGAAGAAAACAATATGGAGCCATTTCTCCTACGTAATTTAATAATCAAATATACTAATTTACCACACCAAATACATCTGGAAATGTGGTGAACCTGTACTCCTAAAACATATATAATGTTGTAAAGCACATTAAAACACACACACACACACACACACAAACTAGGAATGAAAACAGCAGGAACCAGGACAAAGGTTAGCCAAGAAAATGAAAATAATGAGGAAATTCACTAGTAACTGGTGAGGTTAATGTTCCAGAGACATTTACCTTAAAAGAGCAATAATTTGTACATTTTAAGTGCTTCAGAGGCCAATACAAATGTAATCTCAGAAAAACAAATACAGTTATTTAAATAAGATTTGACTAGGCCAACATTTCCACAATTACCAACATTTCAGTAATTAATAGCCATTAAACAAATCCTTATAAATATGTGAAACTGGTTTAGGAGGAAAGCAGAATTTTAACTCAGTAGAAATACGGCTCTTTATAATCATTTCAACTGCTCCTCTTGGGCCACAGGACAAAGATCACCACTGGTTACTAAACCACTTACAAGCACTGAACTACTTCAGGATATGTTTGGGGCTGCCCTTGGCTAACTTCTATAGTTTCTTTCCAGAAATACTGAACAACACCATCATTCTAATTGGTTAAATATCTAAAAAGCATTAAAAATGTTCTAAGATAACTTGTTCTGACAGAAGCATTTTGTTTTCCCTTTCAGCACTAAACATTCAACACTGTCAATATCACGAAAGCCGCTCTTACCTTCTCATAAAGCAGCTGAGGCAAATTCTGTTGCTGCCTGTCCTGAAAGCGCTCATAAAGTTGGAGCAGCCTGGCACATAACACTTGCTCTTGATTGAAGAGGGGATGATGGCTGAACTGCAGACCCACAATATTGAGATCTAACTGATACATCTCCCTTTGACCTTCTATTTTGCTCCTAGTAGAAGCTTCTGGATCAGACTTCACTGCCTTTTAAAGACAAATATAAATACAATGTTCATTTCATTTGTTTCTTTTGAAACTAGAGTAATATTGCCTTATGTACATGTTAGTTGGAAAATTAGAGATACAAGAAAGAAAAAAATGTGATCTTTCTTTATTGAAATTATGGCCTTAATTTCATGAAATACACAGCATTTTAATTATATCGCTGCAACTATTTTCATCTACCTTACTATTTTACTATTACTACCTTACTTACTATTACTATTACTATTATGTGTTGGTAGAAGTTGGACTTTCAAACTATCAGACCTAAAACAATTTCTTACAGGGACATCATGACAAATGAAGTTTAGAACAGCTTGATCAGTATTTCAACTACATACTTCAACTATATGAAAACTTAACATCGGTGGGTCAGTTAAATGGCAAACATTTATTAAAACATTGTCCCAAGAGAATATGTTGTTCATTTCTGGAAAAATCCCTTGAGGAGCCCACGCCCGCTAAGCAAATGCCAGCTCCTTTCTAAAGGAGGCTTCTCCCTGAGGCTCTCTCCCTTTGGGTCCTGCACTTTCCCTAAGTTAGTTGAAGTCTGTAGGCTTTAGATTTTTCTGCAAAGTAATTCGACTATATTTTAGAATACTACTTTGCATTAAGTGCATATTTGAATATGAACATGATTTGTTTTCTTTTATATTGAATTCTTTATTTGGAATAACCTATTCTTGTCCCACACAAGCAGGTAACGAAAGGGAGCAGATATACACATTACTAACCATAGATGATAGATGATTAGTTTTTAGTGATATAATTAAAGACAGTAACTTAGTATATGTGCAGCCTAGTTCACCCATGGCAGCACCTTCATGACTCTAGCAACTCCCAAAAGGGGGTGGGGGGTACAAGCCCTTGCTCTGGGGCAGTAGGCGTGACAGTGCATGTGCTTCCACATGTGCCACTGCTCTGACACCCGCTGTCACACTGTCCCACTTCTGTCTACCAAGACCTGGATGCCGCCAGTATGAGGCTCTCTCCCACAATCTCCTAAGCTAGGAGTCTTCCCCCTTTGTCCTCACTGGATGGGGAGGGGGGAGGGGGCGCAAGAGAACAGCCATAAAGCTCATTTTTATTTTAAGTCATTTTCTAAGTAAGGGTCAACTAGAGGGGGAAGCCTGCTCTGAGTCCACCTAGAAGATTTAGTTAGTCGGTGGCAAAATGGTCACTAACCAGGCAAAACACCAGTTTCAGTTCTAAACAACCCAAATGATAAGTCATTTTGGAAATTAAAGTTCCTCAGCGAGAGATGTCTATCTTGTTAAGTAATTTCAGCTAGTAAATCTGGCCGGATGGCTGTGTGCCATCCAAATAATTGCTTTGGTTTCTTATTGGGCTGACAAAGCCTCTGCCCTTGGTCTTATCCTATAGTTGATTAACATAAATTATAATAGCTATGAGAAATAAACTGTTACTGGTTACCTTCCTGTATACGGTCTTTAGTGCAGGATTTAAAGACTCTTTGCTCATGTTTAGTCTGAAATTCCATGACTGCCTAATAGGTGAAGGTAATGACATTATTTCTCCACTTTCTTCAAACCAACATTTTCCCTATTGTGGACAATTGAGCACAGAAAGTAAGCATTTCATTAAAACAAGTGTCACATTCTACCAGGGAGTGGTTTAATGTGTGAACTGATGCACTTGCCTCTTCCAGTTGAAGCAGGCGATTCTCCATTTTGTTGCAGGCCTTTTTATATATGTTTGGCTTTCTCTGAATATAGAATCCTTCATCTTCTAAAATGCGTGGCATCCTATCTTTTGGCAGTTTATGCTGACTGAGCACTTAATAAATAAACCAAGATATTGCTTTAAAGTCCAAAACATTCAACTGATATTAACCAAACAAGAAGCAAAGGGGATTATTTTAATCTATCACAAATTATAAATACACACACACACATATACACAGAGTTCTTTTAGCCAATTCCCTTGCACTCAGAGAAGGTATGAAGAATACACATAGAAAACTTCCTATAATGTCAGATGAGTACTTTTATATCTACCCAGCAATATGAAAACAAGTACTCTATAATGCAATTCATGAATGACTTGGATATTTGTCATAAAAGAAATTTACCTGGAGAACTACTTGGCTCAAAAATATTTGCTTGCTGTTTTTTAATCTGTTCTTGATTATCTTCATATTCAGCAGCCTTTACTTCAAGTAAATCTGGAAAGATAACTTCTTTCATAAAATCTTCATCTTGGCCTTCAGTAAAATTTTGTGAACTATCACCAAGTGAAAAGTGTTTGGGGTAACTGTCATTTACTGATCTCTGCTGAAAACCAGAAAAAATGTAAGTCTATGCATGCTTGTTTTCAATGATTAATATACAGACCAATGAAATGGTTGGGGGGAAGGAGCAAGCAGTTGGGGTGGAGAGGGCCTTGCTGTGAGTTGTCTTTCTGATCATTGCCACCCAGTTCAAGTATGAGCTGCAAGTGTCCCAATCAAATTTCACTGAACATACAGGGATTGATTTGAGGCTTAATAGTAGCCAATATGATTTTTCAGTAGCCCTTCTTTGTGATTTTCAATGAGAGACTACTGAAGTAGAACTCTCAGTCAAGCACCCCTCTTCTATTAAAGATGTCCTGAGATACTAACTCTGATGTTTCAGGTACTGAGAATGCACACTGTAGGGTAAAGTCAAGAAACAGGCAATGGGGTCTGAAAGCCCGTTTCATTTTACCATTCAGATAACAGTACCACCTAAGTAATGTGAGCAGTCACGCTGTTTTCCGGATGATATTTAAGAAAAAGAAAAGTAAAAATTCAACACAGAAGTCATCTCTGGAGCATGATTACAGTGAACTTCTGAAATACAGTGTATCGATATATAGAAGCTACAGTCTGAACATAGGTATTGAAATAGAATTTTATTGAGTCTCTACCAAAAGTCGCCAATTTGTTTGGCACAACTTTACTTACCTAATTTGAAATATATATATATATATATGTTGAAAGAGGGGAGCAAATAAAAATCTCTCAATTTTCAAAACATATGCTTAGAAGTAAATTATTAAGTAAAAAGAGTGAGTCATAGAATTCCTTTGAATACAGAGAGTTACCACGCACAGTATTGTTAATTATGTGTCATTTGAACAGTGACCGAGTGTAGTGAATCAGAGCAGGAGGATTAGAGAAGCACCTTCTCTGCCAATAAATCTGCAAAGGCAGAGTCGTCTGCTTTGAGGAACTATAAAGGAGGTGAATGAGGCTGGAGCTGGATGGACAAGGGAAGCGTAGTCAGAAGTGAAGTCAGAGGCAGCAAGGGGGCACAGTCACGTGGGCCTTAAGGCCACCTAAGGCCTGAGCTCCTTACTTGGAGTGAGTGAGACAAGGTGTAAACACAAGAATGCTCATCCTGATGACTGCATGAGCTAGAAAACAGGCTGCTGGCGTAACACCGAAGACAAGGGAGAGTGGCAGTGTTCTAGATGATAGGTTATTTGGCTTAGACTCCAGCTGTACCAGCAGAGGGGATGGGAAGCAGGTGAGATTCTGGAATTTTTTGCTTGTAGAACCAGGACTTGTGAGCTGGATATGAGGCATGTGACTAAAAGAGGACCCAAAGAAGACATCAAGGTTTGGCTGAGCAACTGGGGAAATGCAATTGTCATTGAGTACTATGATTCTATTTATATAAAATTCTGTGTGTGCATGTTATATGTGGAAGCTCAGAGAATGATGTAAGAAAAGGACGATAGAGGTTTATCTCTGAGAAGGGGTCTTTCCCAAGATTTTTATTTTCTTCTTCATGCTTTTCTGCATTGTTTTAAAATATATACCATGTATCACTTTTATGAGAAAAAAATCCTATTTCTCTAAAAACACAGTAATAAAAAAAGGAGTAAAAGGACTGGAGAGGGATACAAAGAAAGGGAAATGGAGGCGGCGGGTAGAAAGTGGGAGGCAAAGGGGGGGGTCAGAGGGAGTAAAAGGAAGCACCTGAGGGACCTGGAGGGGAACGGGTAAGTGTCAGAAGATATTAGGTAGAACTCTGGGTGTCAGGAAGGCCAGCACAGCAGGAGGAGATAGGGCGAGACTAACGAGGCAACTAGTCCTGGAGAAGAGACAACCACAGAGGAAGGGAGCTGGGAGGAGTTTGAGAGGAACTGAGAAGCACTGACAGAGGCTGGCAGGGCCTGGGCAAGACTGGGGCTTAGACTAGGGACTATTTCAGTGAATGACGTGAGAAGGAGAAAGACAAATTCCAGGTGGTTTTCCTTATATGTGGCACATAGAGAAACCAAGCAAAGGATCAGACCGAGCCAAACTTAAACACTAACCCTTCCTGGGAAGCTGACTGGAGAATGAGGAATCCTGGTTAGGGAGTAGGGGGAAGGGAAGGGAGCTGACTGGACGACTGTGCTGGACTGTGGGTGCTGGATGCGCTACAGTGACACTATCTGAGGGAAGCCTGTGCTCTGCTTCCAAAATATAAACAACAAAGGAAACAATCACCTCAATACAAAAACAACCCCAACCCAGCCAACCGGGAATGGGGAATCTGTAGCAAGCAGTAAGGTGATGGGGAGCGATGTGAGGCATGTGGAGAGGACATGAAAAGAAAAAGAAAGCACAGGTATTGTAGCTGGCAGCTCTGGCCCTGCGCCTGGTGGCAGCAGGCCTGGCTCACGGGGGTCTCTTGGGGACTGAACAGCACAGTGGATGCTCCATGTACGTGCCTGGGCATCCGGGCAGCACTCAGGACACATTAGGAATCATCATCATCAACAGCGTCTCAGCTCAAAGAGAAGAAAGTGGCTTAGTGACAAATGCACCTCCCACCTCAATATTTCATGCTATGCCTTTAATAAAGATTTCTTTCTCCCGAGAATGAGGATGGGGCAGGAAGGGAAACAATTCCAACCTGTTCTGAAGATTGACCCAACGCAGCATCTTCTTCACTGCTCAGGATGAAAAACGAAAGACCTTCGTCCAGTACGACTTCGGGCTGTGGGTTAAACGGAGGTAAATCGGTACAGTGATGAATGACTATTTTTCCTGCTGATGAGTGAAAGAAATACTTTAATATGGTAAAAAACAACTTTTATCTTATTTGCAAATAAGGAGCAGCAGGGGAGACAATGTGAAGTTATATTTAACCTTGAATCTGGTTGGTTTATATATATATTTTTGCTTTGTTTTGAATTATTTTTAAGATTCTGAGAACTGTAATAAAACACAAAAAACAAGAGTCCAGTGGTCTTCCTTTCCCAGACTATCACTTCCCTCTATTTAGAGTATCACCTTACAGTTTAATCAAAAGATGGCCTCAGGGCAAACTTATTTTTCCCTCCCTGTTTTCTGGTGCTCCCATGTAAGGTCTGCTTCCACATAAGTGTGTGCTCCTATGTAAGCAGGTATTCCTATGTAAGTGTGTGATCCTATATAAGTGTCTGCTCCCATGTGTCTTATTCCACATACATGTGTGCTCCCATGTATGTGTTCCCATATACATGTGTGCTCCCATGGGTGCTCCCATGTACGTGTGTGCTGCCATGTACGTGTCTACTCCCATGTAAATGTCTACTCCCCCTACATGTCTACTCCCACATAAGTGTGTGTTCCCATGTGTCTACTCCCATGCAAGTGTGTGCTCCCATGTGTCTACTCCCATGTACAGATCTACTCCCATG